GTTTGTTGTGTTCTTCGTTGATCTCATTCAGTCATTTCCCCAGACGGTGCCAATTGTGAGTCCCAAAATAATCCCTCACATGGACTGTTGTTGAGAGTCAACGAAGGTAGTCCCATGAACCTGCAAGAAATAAATATGGTTGATGCCACCCAACCGGGGTTACTGGCCGGGAACACTCTGATGATGAAGTTAGAATCCATGAATGAAGAATATAGATCAAGAATTGTAAAGAGTGTTGTGTGTGAAGTACAGGGGAAAAGACATACCTCTTGTGTATGAGGTCACCTCGTTTTATAGGGGATAGACGATATTTGTTTAGGATATTTTACCCTTATAGCTAGGATATTTTTCTGGCTCCCACAATTTATTTTATGGATGTAATCATACTCGTGGATATATGAAATTAAAATAAATTAGGAATCCATAAATAAATTCCGTATACTCCACCAGGACACCATGAATTGTTGTTTTATTTGAGTGTTGGTGAGAAAAAGTGTATAAAAAAAAGTGAGAATTATGAGATTTATTTGATGCCTTAGGCTCGGCATTGTTGTGTTTGTTCTCATGAATAGATGAGGGGCTGTGTATATATATATTGTTGCCTTGTTCTTAAGAGTAGACGAGTACTTTGATTTACGCGTGAACATGTATGTTAACTGTCCGGGGAGTGTGGGTCAAACTTGGGACGATATCCCCGTACAAGTTTAGCTTCAAGTGAAGGGTCGAAGTGGTGGCGTTAAGATACAAAGAATTAAATATGAACTTATTAGTATAGTTTAAATTGTACAGATTTGTAGATCTTGAAAAATAGTAAACAACGTTGATAATTACAAAATTTGGACAGAGGCATGTATACGTAATTCTAGAAAACTTTTGTATTTTAACTTTTTACTAAAAAAATTGATTAGAACTTGTAATCGGATGATCTTGATTACAATAGTTTTTATTCATTTTAACAATGTAGACTTTAGATGATGTTTTAACCCACGAAACGAGCTAATTTTATTGATTTCATTTAAACTAAAGTAAAACATTATTCTGAACACTTTTCGTGTTTTGAACGTTTCCCAAAAAAATATCTTAGAGCAGTTTATTTTCGTTTTTAGTTTTAGTTTTTTTCGATCGAATTCCGTCTAGGTTCTTTTATCAAGTTTTTCTCTCAACTTGTTCAGTTTCTACTAAATTCGTTCACGCTATCTTTTAGGAAATTTGATTATGTACAACTTTTGTTCTTTGAGTTTTGGTCAATCCGAATGATTTAAGCATGAAACGATGCATTTGTTTATACTTTTTCAGTAATTTACTTATGATTAAATTATACTAACTTTATTTTTTATAGAATGATGGGTCTTACTAACTTTTTATGCAGGACTAATACACCATATTTATTTTTATTTTCATTATTTTTTTATATACTCAATTTATGTTTAGTTGTATACCGACAAGAAACTAAATGTCACTGTATCTCAGGAAATTAGCCCTTTATCTCGATGCGGGTGGAACTACTTGTCTTGTCCTGTAACAAGAATGAAATATACTTTTATTTGTGTCTGGTGGACACGTAGGTGTCAAATCTTATACTCATGTCAGTATATTTGTATACTGACCCGTTTTGTCTCTTGACATGACATCTTGGGTGTGTTCTGTTTGAGCACAGCCGAACTTCCTTTGCAGGATTAGTTGACACTATGGTGGTAACGAGAAATAACTACAGTTGTAGGACATGTCTTTCGAATTTCTTTTGTTTTTTGGAGTTTAGGATTGATATTAGTTTATTTATTTATTTTTATGACCTTAATATTTTGATAATTTGGCATTGTGGGTTATTTTCTAATATTACATTAGTTAAATTGTTTTGACTATTTATTGCTACTTTAATGTTGGAGGTATTGGATAGTCATGAATTTATGATAGATGGTTTGATTAGCGTTTGTTAATTTTTTTTTATCCCTTGTATTTTTTTTTTTTTGAGCATTGAAATTTACTTAAATCTTATGGAGACGATAACAATTAGATTTTGGGCAACCCACATGGGTCTATTTTCCTTTCCCAAGAATAGTGTTGTTTTTATATTAAATTGATAATTTATTTTTAAGGCAGAAGAGTTGGGATTACAATTATATTAAATCGATAATTGATAATTTATTAAATAGTGTTGGGATTACAATTATATTCTAATCTCAACATTATTTACACCGTGCCTTTAGGCACCAGCATACGCTAGTTTATATATATATATATATAAAGTGTTATATATATATTGATCTTATATAGCATATTTATATATATTGTATTTATATAAAAAAATATAATATAAATGTAAATTAGGTTATCATAATCATGAGTGCTGCCACTTGAAAAAACAAAAAATAAAAACAAAAAAGAGAGGGTTGTACTTGTGTTTGGTTGAGAATAAGTAGCCAACTAGGTTTAATCACTTTTTGGTGAAAGATTTTTTATCAGCAGTCGTATAGAGAGAGAGAGAGAGAGATTAATCAAAGAAATTGAGAAAGAACAGAGAGACGGCGGCAAGGGGAGAAAGAGGAGAGGGAAGAAAAAGAAAGGGTTAGGGGTTTGTTTTGGTGGCTCCATTAATTCTTCAAATATTTATTTTATCTTCAAACAAATATTGTGAGTGCAAAACCCACTTTTCTTGATTTATATTTTTTTCGTTATTTATATTTATTTGATGTTGGTTTGATATTGTACTTATATGTAGATAATAGATTGATTTCAACTATTTTGATTAGTTGTGTATGCAAGGTTTAGGGCTTATATATATATATATATATTTATTTTTATGGATGTAATCACACTCATGGATATATGAAATTAAAATAAATTAGGAATCCATAAATAAATTATGTATACCCTACCATGACTCCATAAATTGTTGTTTTATTCGAGTGTTGGTGAGAAAAAATGTATAAAAAAAGTGAGGATTATGAAATTTATTTGAATGTCTTAAGCTCGACATTATTGTATTTGTTCTCATGAGTAGATGAGGGTTGTGTATATATATTGTAGTCTCGTTCTCAAGAGTAGACGAGTGCTTTAATTTACGCACGTACATATATGCTAACCGTCCGAGGAGTGTGTGTCAAACTCGAGACGACATCACCTTGCAAGTTTTGGTTAATTCAAATGATTTAAGTATAAAACAGTGCATTTGTTTATACTTCTTCAGTAATTTACTTATGATTAAATTATACTAACTTTATTTTATTGTTTTGCAGAATGGTGGGTCTTACTTACTTTTTATGCTGGACTGATCCACCATATTTATTTTTATTTTCATTAGTTTTTTTTTTTTTTTTATATACTCAATTTATGTTTAGTTGTGTACTGGTAAGAAACTAAATGTCACCGTATCTCAAAAAACTACCCATTTGTCTCAATGCACATGGAACTACTTGTCTTGTCCCATAACAAAAATTAAATGTACTTTTGTTCGTGTTTGGTGAACACGTGAGTGTCAAATCTTATACTCATACTAGTATCCGTTTATACTGACCCGTTTTGTCTCTTGACATCTCGTGTGCATTCTGTTTGAGTGCAGCCGAACTTCCTTTGCAGGATTAGTTGGACCACGACAGTGATGAGAAATAACTATGGTTATAGGACATGTCTTTCGGACTTCTTCTTATTATTTATTTATTTATTTTTTTCTTGAAGTTTAGGGTTGATATTAGTTTATTTATTTATTTTTATGACCTTAGTATTTTGATAATTTTGGCATTGTGGGTTTTTTTTTTTTTTAACTTTACATTATTTAAGTTGTTTTGACTATTTGTTGCTACTTTAATATTAGAGGTATTAGATAGTCATGAATTTATGATGGATGGATTGGTTGGCATTTGTTTTTTTTTTATTTCTTGTATTTTTTTGAGCATTGAAATTTACTTAAATCTTATGGAGACGGGGACATTTAGATTTTGTTTCACCTTTAGAATTTGGATAATGGAGTATTGATTATGATTTAGTCCTATTTTAATATTTAGGGGTTGTTTGGGATGTCCTAAATAAGTGTACTTTTTGACTTTTTGAACTAAAAAGTTGAGAAAAAAAATATGGTTGTTTGGGTTAATTTTTTTGACTTTTATGGAAAAATGTGTATTAAAAAATTGTATAAATTAGTGTGTAAGGAAAAATTATGATTGAGAGTTGTGCAGCCGTACTTTTTGATTTTTGGTAAATAACTTAACTTTTTGACTTTTTGATACATGCCAAACTTGGCCTTAATAGTCCAAATTTTGGGCGCGTGATATTTAGCCTAATCCACACAACACAATACACATCAAAACACAATAATGTACACACCATCAAAGTTGAAAAGCCAATATATAAGGTTCAAAATACAATTCACGATAATTTTAGATTCTTGGGTCATTCTCTTCCCGATCTGTGTTCAATCTATGAAAGTAACTGAGAGTAAATGGCGAGAACCAAATAGTGGACTGAAATTTTGCGGCGACGAAGCAATCGGTGTAGTATTTTGCAAAAATTTAAACAAAAAACAATTTTAGTATTGTTCATAAATACAGTGTTAAAAAAAACTTAATATGTTCACAAATTTAAATTCAAACTAAACCAAAATGTTTAATTTTTTTATGTATGAATATTTAATATTTGTTCAATTTTAATATTATGAACAAAATGATCCTGTTCGAATATAAATAATTAAACATTTTGTAAATGTTAAAATCTATGGAACCAATAAGCCATTGTTGTAAAAATGAATAATCTTCTTTTGTTTCAAATCAATACGAAAAAGATATATAACAAAATAAATTGACATTTTTATTACTATTTTGTTCCAAATTAATGTTATACATAATATGTAAAATTCTAAAATCGGTTGATTTCAATGTTTTAAAACCGTAAATCTTCTAAAACAATAATACTTTGAATTTGAAAAATAATAAAAAACAATCTGTTCTAGGTCATTGTCCCTATATTTTGTTGTCTATAATGTGTGTAATTACCAAACTAGACCCTACGTTGCTCATGTCACTCTCTCTCTCTCTCACACAACAACAACTAGCTCCTCTCATTCCTCCTCCCTCACGGACGATTTTGTTGCTCCCATTCCACCGTTGTACCGCCTGAAATCGAAAGTCGACACCGCCGATTCACGAACTTGGACTATTTCATTCTGACCAGGTAAGTTGATTTCTCTTTCACTCTCTGGATCTTATTCTCTGCCCTAATTTCTCTCAAATCGATTCCCTCTCTTAGCAATCTCTACATCACACACTTTCACCGCCCTGTAATCACTACCGCACCACCCATCGCTACCGCCAGCCAATCCCACCGGTAAGCCCGCTTTCCATTGCTTTTGTTGTCCCTCTACATCCTCTCTTGCTTCCTGGCGTCGTGCTCGAAGCTCTCTCTCTTAGCCACCATATTTCGTTCTGGGTATATGTTAATATCAAGATTTGGTAATTCGAGGAGTATTTTGTGTTGGTACTTCACATTTATGTTTCTTTGATCAAGTGCAAATTCAGTTAAACACAATATATTTATGTTGGATGTACACATGAATTATTGGAAGAAAAGACCTAGTATGATGTGAACTAAGAATTTGGGTATTGTGTTGTAGTCTATTTAATCAATTTGTTGACTTGTACTGCTGTAATGTATTGAGTTTTTGATTGAAAAAAAAAGAGTTTGACTATAACTTTTGTTTTTTTTTCTCTAGAAGATTCGAAACTCTGAAGAAGATGTCGATGTCGAAGAGTTCAAAGATGCTTCAATACATAAACTACCGAATGCGAGTGACAATCCAAGACGGTCGACAACTTGTAGGCAAATTCATGGCATTCGATCGCCACATGAACCTTGTCCTCGGCGACTGTGAAGAGTTCCGCAAACTCCCCCCAGCCAAGGGCTCCAAGAAGACCAACGAAGATCGAGACGACCGCCGAACCCTAGGTCTCGTCCTCCTCAGGGGTGAAGAAGTCATTTCCATGACCGTCGAAGGCCCTCCCCCTCCCGAAGAGTCTCGTGCCAAGGCTGCTGGCGCTGCCGCATTGGCCGGTCCCGGCATTGGCCGTGCCGCTGGCCGTGGTGTCCCCACTGCCCCCCTCATCCAAGCACAGCCCGGTTTGGCTGGCCCCGTTCGTGGAGTTGGTGGACCGGCTCCGGGGATGATGCAACCGCAGATCTCCCGCCCTCCTATGCCGCAGATGTCTGCTCCGCCAATGACTTACCCGGCGCAGGCTTCGGCGCCGGTGATTCGGCCCCCTGGGCAGATGCCTGGGTATCCGCCCCAGCAGATGGGGAGGGGGCCGCCCATGCCACCGCAGTTTGCACCAAGGCCAGGTTCTGCGCCCTACCCGATGCCTCCGCCGCCGCAGTTTGGGCAGAGACCGATGGTTCCACCGCCGCAGATGATGAGAGGACCACCCCCTCCGCCGAGGCCGGGGATGCAGGCCGGACTGCCGCCACCGAGGCCTGGGATGCCACCTCCACCTGGTGCTGTTCCTGTGTTTGGCCCGCCTCGCCCCGGGATGCCGCCTCCGCCAAACCCTTAGCAACAGCTGCAGCACTGATTTGGTATGTTTAATATGTTCACAATTGTTAAATTAACTTTTAGATAGTATCAAATATGTTTCTTTCAAGCTTTTTGATTGAATTTAAGTAAAACATATTCTGAAATTATTTTTAGGGTCAATGTTTGGGCATTTGCACTCTTTTCTTGTGTGTATGTATATACTTAATTGTTTGGTTCCTAATTCCTAAAAAGGATAATTTATTGGGATTGGGAATTTTAGGCCAATTAGTATTGTTTATTTCTTTATAAAGTTTTGGTAATAGTGCTATCAATCCAAATCTATTTTAGGGGAACTGTGCCTTTTTGTCAATGGGCATTTATGGAGGGATGTCTGATCTTAGATGTAGTTTCGATTGCAAATGAGGTGGTACAGGAAGAAGTGGTGTCAACAAGAGAGAGGGGTGCTGTTTTTAAGGTTGTTTTTGAAAACACGTGATCATGTGGAGTGCGACTTGTTGGACTATCTATTGCAAAAAAATAAAAAAAATAAATAAAAAAAAATAATTTTGACGATAGGTGGAGAAAGTGAATTTGTGGTTGTCTTTTCATGAGTCATTTGCTTGTTATAGTCAATGGAAAGGCTGGTGCTTAATTCAAGGTCTCCAGGGATCGTATATAGATGGATCCTTTTTCTTCTTTCCTATTTATGCTAACGGTAGGTGTTTTGGCAAGAATGGTTGATAAAGCTGAATATTTAGGTTTAGTAGATGTCTTTTTAATTGAGAGGGATAATATTTGTGTCTCATTTATAGTTTGCAAATGACATTGTCTTTTTTCTTTGCTTAAAGAGTGTAGTATGGTTCATTTACTTTCCATTTTGATGGTTTTTGGTATAGCTTGATCTTAGGGTGAATATGAGTAAGAGTGCCATTGTGGATATCAACTTTCCTCAAATTGGGTTAAATAAGTTGGCTACATTGTGAGGGTAGGTATCCCTTTTATTGATCAGCAAAGTAGAATAAACTTTATTGATGAAATTGATATACATAACATATGAATACATCAATAAAGAAAGGCAAGAGTGAAGAGCATCATAGTGCCACTTCTAAATCCCAACTAGGTTGGCACTTGGCATCAAGAAGAGCACCCTATCATATGCTAGTTCAAACCACAAAGGTTGGTGAGAAACCAACACAACAAAAGAAAAGAAAAACCAGAGACGAGACAAAACAAACCCCAATAACAGCAAAGGACAAAGCTCACCAAACCCAAGGCAAAAAAAAAAAAAAACACCTATTAGCAACACCAAATCACAGAAACAGCAACAACAAACCAGCAGCAACAGCTCTGTTCTCTGATCCTCCTCTGCCTCAGTAACAATCACCACCATCTCACAAACACTTTCTTACTTCTTATATGCTTGACACTATCTCATTAATGGAATAGAAGCACCCCATTTCGTGAGATTTCATCCAAATGGCCAATCTAACTTCAATAAGATCACATATCTCCCCAATATTTGGTTGTGTGCCGTTAAATACACAGTCAATGTCAAAAAAATAAAAAATAAATACAGTCATTTCTGTATTTCCACAGGGTCCAGATTACTGATATGGGAACAGCTCTCCATACTTACTTTTCCTTCTTTTTGAACTTCCAACACAGCCGCCACTGTATCAAACTATCAAATGAGCCTGGTAAGACCCACTGCAATCCGCACCAAGCAATTATATTGTACCAAACCCTCCTCACAAAAGGGCAGAACAGTAGGATATGATGCAATGATTCCAATTCAGATTTACAAAGTGCACAGGAAAGATCCACATTGCTGCTCAACACACCAATTCTACTCAGGAATGCAGCTGTTTGTAGCCTACCTTTCCAAGCTAACCAAGTGATAAATTTTGCTTTCGGTGGGGAAAAGTTATTCCACACCAAATCTGATGAACTCAACACGGGACTCATAAATGATTCACTCCATTTGTACACATTGCTTACTTGAAAACCCCTGTTTGGTCTGCTTTCTACCTGACAAAATCCAGATGTTCCATGTTTAAATTTGGGCCTGCTCCCAATACATTTTGCAATCTAACAACCTCCTCTTCTTCCGAGGCATGAAGTGATCTTCTGAAATTGAAATACCACCTATTCAAATTGTCCTTTTTGATTATTTGCAAACTCAAAGCAACATCATTTTCTGTACAAATCTGATATAGCCTAGGGAATTGGTTCCTAAGGCTTGCTTCACTCACCCATGTGTCTTCCCAAAACATGACCCTATTCCTTCCGGATTTTTGATACAGATGCAGATTCATTAGAAGAAACCACCTTCCCCCCCATTGATCCATACTTACTACAAATTAGTGATTTCCGTAAGGCATCATCCTCTAGAGCATATCTCCACCACCATTTGAGTAATAAGCAGTCATTGGTGAGCCGGATATCTCTAATCCCTAGACCTCCCTGGTTCTTGTTCATTAACACCTCTCTCCATTTTACCAAGTGAACTTTCCTTTTTATCTACTCATCTCCCCAAAGGAAGGCTGCTTGAATTTTGTCAATCTCTCTTGCAACACATTTAGGAATCCTGAACAATGACATATAATAAATAGGCAAGCAAGATAAGACAGATTTGATAAGTGTGACTCTTCCGGCAAATGACAGCATTCTTCTTTTCCAACCAGTTAGCTTCTTTTTAAATTTCTCGACAATTGGCTTCCTAGGCTGCATCCTTCCTGGATTAGCTTCTAGTGGCAGGCAAGATACTTCAGAGGTAGTTTTTGACTCAAGCAGCTTAGTTGCAAAATCAGCCACTGACCCATCCTCCACTCCAACTCCACAATTTACACTCTTGTGAAAATTGATCTTAAGCCCAGAAACCACTTCGAAGCACCTTAAAATTTCTTTCACAGCCACTATTTCAGTCCAATCTGCTTCACAGAAGATAGTTGTATCATCTGCGAATTGAAGATGGGATAAGGTCAGCTCATTAGTTCCCCACTGACACTCCTTTAATAATTCCTAACTCCTTTGCTCTTGACAGTAACACATTTAGACCTTCAACAACAACATTAAATAGGAAAGGTGAGAGTGGATCACCTTGTCTAAGGCCTCTTTGGAGGCAAAATTCAGCTGAGGGGGATCCATTTACTAGAATAGAAAATCTGGCAGATGCTATGCATTCCTTCATCCAGATCAGCTATTTTGATCCAAAACCAAATTAACTGTATCATAGGCTTTATCAAAATCCAACTTGAGTATTAAACCCTTCTTCTTTGACTTCTTCCACTAGCCCACTACTTCATTTGCTACTAACACTCCATCCATGATGTTTCTTCCACTCAGAAAAGTAGATTGTACCTTATCAATCACACTAGGTAGTACTTGCTTGATTCTACTTGCTAACACTTTTGACAATATTTTGTATGATGAGTTGATCAAACTGATTGGCTCGCAATCAAGTATGGAAACTGGATTCTCTTTCTTAGGGATTTGACAAATGAGCAGTTCACACCATTACCCAGCTTGCTATTCCTATAAAACTCCATAAAGTTCATGATATCATTCTTCATGAACTTCTACCCTTTTGAAAGCAAGTTAAATTAAATCCATCTGGGCTTGGGGCTTTATTCCCATCACACTCTTTTATAGCTGCCCAAACCTCGGCCTCTGTGAATTCTTTTTCAAGAATACCTTGCACTTGATTAGACTCAATTCTCATGAAAGAACCACCAATACTAGGTCTGCATTTCCAAGGCTCAGTAAACTGTTTCTGGAAGTGGTTGCAAATTGCTTGCTTTACCTCCATTGGTTCTTCAAAAATAGTACCATTTATATTTAATGAATCAAGCATGTTTCTGCTTTGCCTCTTGGATGCCGTAATGTGAAAGAACCTGGTATTCCTATCCCCCTTTAATGTCCACTCCATTCTTGACTTCTGCAGCCACAGCCACTCCTTTCTTTTTCTGAACTTCCATACTAATTCTTTCACCTCTTTTCTTCTTTTAATTTCCCCCTCATCCAGATTTCTCATTTCAGTAGTCAGATCCGGAGCATGTAATTCATTTTCAGCATCTCTGAGATTGGATTCCACATTTCCAAACACTTCAACATTCCATTTCTTCAAGGCCATTTTCAATGATCTCAGTTTTTCCATGATAATATACCCTGCCCACCATTCAATCTTTGTGTTTTCCCACACCCTTTTCACTTCCTTAGCAAAGGTAGGATGCAATGCCCAAGCATTTATAAATCTAAAGGGCTTGGGACCCTAATTTCTCTCATCTTCCTTCAAAACAATTGGGCTATGATCTGAGCAAAATCTAGGCAATCCCCATACTTTAAATCTAAACCACTCTAGCCATTCAGGGTTCACTAGGAATCTGTCTAACCTGCTCCGGTTTTGAGAATTACTCCATGCATATTGTCTTCCCAACATTGGAATATCTATCATTTCAAGGTTGCTAATGAAATTTACCAAACTCAGCCATTCCTCTATCCCTTCTTAGACACCCTTTTCTTTCATACACCATGGTTTAGGGAACATATTTTGGGAACCAAAAAGTAGCAACAACCCTTTGGAGATATTTTGTTAAAATTTCAACTCCGTTTGTTTCAATGTAAAATATATTTTTACATTGAAAATATTTTACATGTAAAACTATTGTATGCATTAGGTAGAAATGTAATGAAAATCCACCATTTTAAAGATCAATGTGCTGCTTAAAGGGTCAAGCTAGAAGAGAGGTTTTTAAAAATTGACTTGCGAAATTTTTAATGGCAAGTGATATTGAGGACTATGACGAAAAATATCTTTCTTCAAAAATGTTATACTTATGTTTTAGTTAACCAAGCAATGAAAAATATTACATCAAAACAAGCAGAGCTTTCATGTAAAATTTTGAAAACACAGCTCCCATTAATCAATTTGAACAGCTTGTCTGGTATGAATTATTTAAACTCATATTTTGTAGTTTTGAAAGTGCAACAAAAATATGCATGGTTCAAAAAAAGTAAGATGGATGTCTATAGGTTATTTAACACACTCCAAACCCTTCTTCTATTCATATCTTCATTTGGGGCATATACATTTCCAATCACACATTCAATACTTTATGAATAGTATCTGTAAGTAAGATGAAGTTTCTGGAGCAGCAACAATCTTTCAAGACAAATACTTCTTCTGGCTTCCAAATACATAGCAGCCCACCTGCACTTCCTTTAGCATCTACAGCCTTAAACTTCATCAGTTCATTAGGATAGACCTAACAAAATCTTCAGTAGTGTTTGATCCTTTTGATTCTTGTAACAAAACCATATCAATTTTCTTCACTCTTAGTAGCTCCTTGATTCTTCTTTTTTCCACCCTTCCTAACCCTCTCACATTCTATGACATAATCTTCATAAAAAACCATCATTTCACCTTCAACTCCCAAAGATGCCAAACTAAGCACCTCCTTTGTCCCCTTTTGCACTTAGTCTTTCAGCATCGTCATTCTCCATCTGGATTTTTTTTCAATACTTTCCCCTTCTTTTCCTCTCATCTCCACCCCCAGAGCCTTCCCAACTTGGATTGTAGCCTGAGCTTCTTCCTGTAGTTTCCTCTGTTTGCTTAAGCTGCTTCTGACTGATACTGAAGCTGAAACTGCAGCAGCTGATACACGAAATAATGCTCCTCTTTGAAAACCATTGCTTAAGGAACACCCTTCTTTGCTTTCCTTCTTCTAGATCTTCCCCTATTTCCTTTGTGCTCCTATTGATCATCATCACTGCAGCTTCTCAGCTGAAGTTAGAGTTCCCACTTTTGCTCCAGTTTCGTTCACTATTGACACAGATGCAGAGTTGCAATTATGCCCATCTACCGTCCCCTCCTTTCTATCTATGGTCCTTTTACCGATTGCCATGTCACCATAATCCTCCACCTCAGCTTCCATGTCATCCACGTCATCATCTTCATTGTTGTTCCCATGGCAGCTTGCAGAGCTCTGGTCATCCCCTTGTAGGTTTCTTCTATGCTACTCTCCTCAACTACTCGAATTGGGTAGATGCTACTTTTGCTTTCCAATTCTCCTATTTTTTGAAAGTTTGTAATATTCCAGGGGTTGGGAGGCATTCCATAACAATTTAGCCAACCAAACTTAAATCGAGCAAGGGTGTGATGTGGATCTTCCACAATTTGACTTCTAGACTTGATATTTTAGAGTATTTTAGAGATTTTAGAGCTTCTTTATAGATTGTGTGATGCAATCAAACCTTAGGTGTGATGCCTATGATATTTAGGCGTGATGCCTAGATCAATCTTCTTCTTCTCCTTTTATTTTTCAATTTACTATTCTCGGATTACTATTCACAGCCCTCTAAAAGTGCACTTTTCAACCTCAAAATTCCATCCAATCACCCTCAAATCAACCCTAATCCCTTCCCCTACCTATTAGCCTTCAATTTACTCTTGAAACCATAAATTATTCACGGCTTAGGCCATCAAATGACCTCTGTTTAAGTCTAAAACAGGTCAGCATGTCAGTAGCAGCATATATGCAGAGATTTGATGAACTTAAGACTAGAAGTCAAATTGTGAAAGATCCACGTCACGCGCTTGCTTGATTTAAGTCTGGTTTGAGGACTGATATACAATGAGAATTGCTCTGTCAACCCTTATACAGTATGGAGCATGCATTCCAAGTGACACTTGATATAGAAGAATACTTGAGTTACTCAATTACTAAGAAATTTGCGTCTTAAGCAGGGGAGATAACATTTAGAAGATTCACTGATGCAAATAAAAGCACAAAAAAAGCACCTTTGTAGCCACTAGATCGACCAAACATATCAAAAGCCTCATCTTCTAGTGTTATTGATCATAGAAATAAAGGTATTGTGACTATGAAGCCAATTGGGAGGGATAAAAGCACTACTTGTTTTGAGTGTGGTGAGTCTGGGCACATGGCTTATCAATGTCCAAAGAAGAATACCCTCCATACTGCAATCGAAGTGGACACAGAGCAACTGCCAGAATATGGCCAATCACAGGAATATGTTAATGATGAGGATGCATTCAATTATGGAGAGGATAAAATTGATGATTTAGTTGGAAACCTCCTTTCTTAATGTTGTTAGGCGTATTCTAGCAGCCTCTAAGGTGGAGCAAGAAGATTGGCGACGAACATCAATCTTTCAAATGCTGGTCCGTTGTGGAAATCAACCAAAAAAACTTGTTATTGATGGTGGAAGCTGCATGAATGTTGTTTCTGCATCTACAGTTGAAAGACTTAAGCTACCAACTAAGCCACATCCTCATCCTTACAAGGTAGCTTGGATTGACAATACATTTATTCCGGTAACTCAATGATGCCTTGTTTCTTTTGCTTTGCCTAATTATAGTGATTCTATTTTATGTGATGTAAACCCTATGAATGTCACTCACATCCTTCTTGGTTGACCATGGCTTTACGATCACATTGTACAACACAATGGAAGAGAAAATACATACACTTTCTCACTTGGAAAGAAGACAATTGTCCTACATCCTATGACTATGGCAAAGATGAGAAAATATGAAACTCTAAAGCCAAAGCGTATTGCTGAAAGTTAGAATAAACCTCTTCACGTACTCTCTAAAAAGCAAATTCGTGGTGGAAAGCAAAGGATCAAAGCTTATCTATGCGGTAGTGGTCAAAGAAGTGAAGCAACCAGTAGCTGGTCTTGAGACAAAAAGGCCTTTAGAGGTTGAAAAGAAGTTGTATGAATTTTCTGATATAGCACCAGAAGACCTACCTAATGAGCTTCCTCCCATGCGTAATGTCCAACATGCAATAGATCTTAGCCCCAAGTCTCATATGCCTAATCTTCCAGCTTATCGAATGAATCCTAGTGAACATACTGAGCTAAAAAGGCAAGTAGATGAGCTCCTGTCCAAAGGATTTATCACGAAAGGTTGAGTCCTTGTGTTATTCCTGACTTGATCACACCAAAGAAAGATGGCACGTAGCGCATGTGTGTTAATAGTCGAGCTATCAACAAAATAACCATCAAATATCAGTTTCCAATTCATTGTCCACTCATCCCATTTTCCCATTCAAGAACTAAGTCACTCCAGTCTTTCATCCATTCACCAAGTTTATTCGCTCTGTTTTTCATTGTTTCTATTGATTTGAACATTACATATGCAATTCTACCTCCTCCTTGTCTCACGTGTAAGTCCTTAAATCCTCTATTTTGAAGCTCCTTCTTGAACTCTGTAAAGTTGCAATGAGTGTTCAACTTGACTATCACACTTTCATACAGCCATCAATTTCCAAACTCTTCTGCCTTGATTCTGATGTCGTTTCCACTTCCCTCCATCCTCCCTTTTAGGACGTCAGTGTAAGTGCTCCTTCTTTGTTTGCCCTCAACCCTTGTTCTCAGTGGAGCTTCAAATCTCTGTGCCACACCTTTCTTAGGTTGGCCTTGGTCCTTTCTGAAATCAAACCTTTTTACCTTCAGAACTTTGTTATCGCACCATATGTTAAAACCTACACCTACTACACCCACTACCACCTACCACACACACTCACCTACTTCACCTACTCTCCACCTACTCCTCACCTACTCCCAAATCCTCTCCTATATAATAGGAATCCTTGTACTTGTAACAAATACAATACAGATATATCAATAACATCTCATTTATTCACTTGCTCTCTCTCTTTCTGTATACATAAAATCTTACATGGTATCAGAGCAGGTTTAGAACCTAGTATTTTCGCTTCACCGGCAGGCGGCAACCTCACCTTGGCCGCCTGCCGGACCTCAACCTAATCCGCTAGAATT